TCGTGAACCGATAATCACTAATCAGCTATGAAATCATTGTGACCATCTAGTGATGATTTTGTCAAACATACAAAAAAAAAGTTAAAGAAAAATATTAAAATATTATTATAATTTTTAATATTTCAAGAAGGCTGAAAGTTTCAAGTTTTAAATATTTCTAAGTGAAAATTGAATGTAAAATATTTCATACTCATAATCTTAAATATATATATCTATCACGAGTTCAATCGTATCAACCGTCTCAACCGTTTGAACCGTAAACTTTAATAGTAAAACAGGCTAATGACCTTAGATGCTTTAAGTTAAAAWGATAAATATAATACTCATTTATGAAAATAAGCAAAAAAATACATAAATAGTATGTAAGTATTATAGTTTAAAAACGTAGCTATTGGAAATTATGATTAGTTATAAACTTATGAATATAATTTGTACAATACTTTAGTATAATTCTTTACTATAATTACCTATATTTCTRACTTGAAGTATCTATATAATGTTGCTAAGTGTGAAATTGTAATGTAGTGTAATACTTAACATTTAAATTTAATTTTTTATAATTTTTTTAAAATATTACTATAACAAATCGAAAATTTAATAATTAATTCCAAACATTAAAAACTTTTAATTTTAGATTTGAACAGTTTTGTATTAATTATTGTAACGAAAAGTTGCAAAAGTTATTCCTTGACCTAACACTTAAGTCAGAACAACAAGAATATTTAAGCGAGGGTATCGAGTGGACTGTTGTTGATTACTTTGACAATGGAATTATATGTGACATGATTGATGAAAGACACAAAGGTATGGTTCCTATGTATCTACGTAAATCTGATTTATTTTCTAATGATTATAAACTAACTCTATGGTCATATCTTTCTATTCTGAATTTCTAAGGGATCATTTCATGTCTCGATGACGAGTCTCTTAAACAAACTGATGTATGTAATAATTTAATTTTAATCAACGAGTTGGCGAAACGTTTCAAAGAACACGAGTACATTTCATGTTACCAAACTGTAAATGATCCACAATTAAAGAGAACAATAATTTTACCTACAGTGAGCACCTAATTTTAAAACTTAAAATACTTACTACCACAAAAATATAGATAGGTACCTATTAAATTTTTTTTTTTTTAACATTCAAAGGAATTTGTAATCAAACATTTTGCTGGTGCTGTGACGTACGATGCTTCTAATTTTTTAGAAAAAAACAATGACTCTCTGTTTGGAAATCTAAGCCAAATAATGTCTAGCTCTACCAACGCGATCATAAAGGTAATACATAATTAATCATACACGTTCAACTGTATTTCTCACCAAGAATTTTTAGACCATTTTTTCAGATTGCCAGACGCCCAATAAAAAAATACCAGAGACTATAATGAAGCAGTTTAAAAATAGTTTGAATCGACTTATAAACACATTGTCGTCAAAAGAGCCTTCGTATATTAGATGTATCAAGCCGAACAACTACAAAGAATCYGGTTAGTATGATATTTAATCAGTCGACAAATCAACCGTTGTATTACTTATGTTATAAATAATAAATGTTATAAATATGACCCAGGAYCATTCTTCCATGATTAATTCAATAGCGTGAACCTAAGTTTAACAATCTGTTAGTACCTATATATAATAATGAATTATTCGATTGTATTTTTACTATATTTAAATTTCAGACAATTTCGACGAAGAAGTGATTAGTCAACAAGTGAAATACATGGGTTTAGTCGAGATACTACGTATCAGGAAAGCTGGTTTTGCATACCGTGGCCAGTTTGAAGTATTTTTAAATAGATATAAATGTTTGTGCCCGGAAACTTGGCCCGATTGGACTCGACGGTACGGCGGGGTGGCTGTCGAGGCAGTAAAACGGTTGATTGAACATCTGCAGTATACAAGCGAGGATTATAAAATTGGAAGGTACATGAGTAGTAGTAGCAAGAAGCTTATTATTCTCAAAATACATTTTAAAAATACCGACCACTATCATAAAAGTATTTCAGACCGATATAATTATTATAAATCGATGTAACACATCATAGAATATGTAATCTTCTAACTCGAAAAATGGTTGAAATTAATTATTGAAATTTGCAAATATCCCACTGATTACTGGAAAATCGTATTGTTTTTTTTTTTCTTTTAGCTTTTTGATGAAATTATAAATAGCTCCGAATAATGGTAAATACCTGAAATCGTGTATTTTTTTTTTTGCAGGACTAAAATCATGATAAAACATCCACATACAGTGTTTGAAATTGAAAAACGATTCCAGACGTCTAAGCACTTKTTGGCRATTATCATCCAATCGGCSTGGCGTGGATACGTGGCCCGCAAACGATACAYTCGCATCAGGACTCTGTTGATATGGTGTCAGGGGTTAGCGAGGCAGCGTTTGCAGTACAAAAGGGCTATGAGACTCAGGACGTTTCAACTTGTCATCCAAAAAATAGTTTTTGTACAGAAAAACATCAGAAGGCTGTTGGCCGTGCGCGCTTACAACAAAACTCGAAAGGCCGGGCTAACAATTATAAGGTGTTAAGTTAATTCATTGTCCATTCCCAACAAACATTCCCCAAAATTTTACTCATGACAACTGAAGTAATCGTTTTTGTCACCCTTTTAAAAATGAACAACAATTTTCAGCTTTGTCAGAGGGTTCTTGACGAGAAACGATCCACCAAACGCGTACAACCGTCGGTTTGTTATATACAAGCAGAGGAGATATCTGATCGAGCTGTCCGAGGCATTGCCAAAAAGCCTGATGGACGACCGTTGGCCTAAGCCACCGAATTGCTGTGTAGAAGTAAATACGAAATCAACCGTTCAAATATCGTATGATATTATGCTGTTGTATAATATTATGAATATATTATATTTGTGTAAAGGTATCTGAGTACTTAAAGGCTTTACACCGCCATTGGCTATCAAGAGCATATCGAATAAATTTGGCTAAATGTCCAGAATCGTACGAGCGTCTTAAATTCAAACTCGCGGCTTCTGAAATATTCAAAGGTGAAAATATTACAGTGTTCTACTTGTGTTGTTATATTATAAGTATACACAAYGATAAAACAAAAATTTTAATGTATTTTACAGGAAAAAAGCCAATATATCCAGAAAGCTTAAAATTCGATTTCAATGCGGATCGTGCGGGGATTATTCAAAAAATGATAAATGCCAACTTGAATGACTCAAATCACAAAACTAATTATTTTGTCAGTTTCCGCATACGAGTATTTATTTATTTATTTATTTTACTTTAAACTTTTTTTAGTATGCGACAGAAGTAACGAAATTCGATCGCCGAGGGTACAGATCTAGAGTTAGAATTCTGATACTAACTACTGAAAATATTTTAATAATAAAAAAATCTGATAAGAATCAAAAAATCAAAGATCAATTGCCGTTGGAACACGTAACGAGCCTTCAAATGACCTCGGGAACGGATAAATTTTTACTTATCAAAGTATCTGAAAAATTGGAAAAATCCAAGGTGAAATCAATGATTCAAAACTAGCCAGTAGTATTTAATAATTTTAACGTTATATTAAGTATTTAATCTACAATTTATTATTTCTAAATAACAACCAGAGACGTAATTAGAGCTTTGAATCTATACTCAAGCACCATCCCAATTATCCCTCCCATCGGTCACATACTCATAAAAAATTCAACATTGGCAATTTGTTTGATACAAAAAGTTCACAAGATGTTAACCTTCAATATTAGATTAGTAAATGTCAAATTATCAACTTTCTTCGTGATAAAATTAAATAATTGTCTACTTTAAAAAATGTTTTTGAACCTTGGAAATAACATATTGTGCATTTTTTTCATTTTTTTCATTTTTTTTAAGTTGCAATATTTAGTTTTAATTATTTTGCTACTAATTTTAATACAGGATTGTGTTTTTAATATAAAGAAAATTATCAGATTTCATTAACCAAAGTCTAAAAAAGTCTAAAACAATTAATACCTATAACAGTGTGTAATTTATTTTAAACCATACTTAACCTACAAAAAAACTGAAATTAAGATTTAAGAATAATATTGTAATAATTCACTCGATTAGATTATTTAACTAATACGTTTATCTATTTGATTTATTATCATAACAGTTTTAAAAAGATGAACTAGTGGGTACCGTTCTGCTATAATTGCCGAGCATATCGTTGATTTGTAATAGACGTGTTATGTTTGAATTAAATGATAAATCATTGCATAGTTGAAAAAAAGGTTCAAAGAGGAGACGTTGTGTCAGCYTAGCATATTTGCATAAATATCAAATTTATTAGTTTTAAAAAAAAATGTATAAAATTTAAAATATGATATTTATTATGTTTTGATATGATAAAAAATATTTGGGTCCCTAGTATCTTTATTTACAAATGTGATAGGCGATTGCTGTAAGTTGCATGTGGACATAATAACAGTATTATATGATACCGTCTCTGAACCTCTAAATAAATTCACAAATGGTTCAATCTTTTCCCCTATATAACGCCTCTGATAAAAATTTGACCTTACATAATAATTATATGTTGTTCTTTTATAATATTAGGGAGACATTTTATTAGAAGTTCCCTACTTGGTTGAATGTGTAACAGCTCTTTCAAAACAAGCACCGGGGATAGTAGAATTCATCAATATGCAAGAGAATTCATGGTAAATATTAAAATAACTAGATTAATTAAGCCTAATATATATGCAGTTCATAAAATAATTTAAAATATTATCGTATAATACTTTATATTATCATATACTATTATTATAATAGTAATATTTTATAACTGCCTAATAAGTAATACCTACTCATAACTTATGAGTCATAAGYCATAATAACAAATAATATACATKWGATTGCTCTTTATCAATACAGATGATGAATTTTTTTTTAAATATGTTTATCTGTGCGCCTAATTGTTTATATTTTTTTATATATTATTTAGCATGAAACATGACATGAAAAACACAAAAAATCCTGGATTTATMGAATTTATACCTGCTACAATCTCAGAACGGAAAGGAGAAATACGCAAAGGAAACAATGGGAATTTAACGATTACCGGTTGAACGTAACGGATATATTTTTAAACATCACCAATTTCAAATAATTTAATTTCGCAATTAGCAACTGTCAAACACGTCGTAGATAATGTCAGTCTTTATGAGAGGGCACAGTTCAATACAATAACTTCAACGGAGGACTTATTTTATATTCTATACAAAAGAAAATACACWCATTATGGTTCACGACATTATGTATAATATGGATTTTACACGTTATTATAAAATTTTAAAATAAACCAGAACACAAAAATATTTGTTTAGTATGCAATGCTGTTCTATACATAGTAGAGTCTATAATCTAACGCTATATTGCTACAGTGCAATATACATATAATATATTATATTGTGTAGAACGATATCGAAAAATTTCATTAATGGTCGTACAAATTCGTACAAATTCTGTACTAAATAACTGCATAGAAATTTTATTCGAAATCGTATTTTAAGTCTGGTGGAAGAGGGGGCACGGGCAGGGGAAACGGCATATTATAGGAAAATGCATTTTTCGGTTGTAAGGAATTTTCGAAAAATTTCACTAATGGTTGTAGAAATTCATACAAATTCCGTATTAAATAACTGCAAAGAARTTTCATAGAAATAAGTAGTTTTAGAAATGGGTGGGATGGAGAAACGTTTCTATAKCCCCCACTCAAATTCTCGTATATTTTCTAAAATAAACTCGTACAAATTTAGAATCTTATCATTAGGGTTAGGATGTTTCTGACTTTTGCATATTTTTTCTTTTAGTCGTGCACATCGCAGACAAATTTATCAATTTCTTTTATGCAACATAGAATCAGATACATTCAATTTTATTTTGCATATTTTTGCATGTTTAGGGATTTTTATGAATAAATGCATATTTTGAAAAAAATTGTAAATAAATGCATATTTTGTCAAAAAATACCTTAAATACAATATAAACCCATAGATAAGGCACAGTCGGTTTCACATTTAACKAAAATGAGAAAATATGAAACCCGTAGTATATAATTAACTTATCTTTATTACTTACTTAATTAAATATTAATTTACTGTAAGTACCTATGTTTTTAATTTCAAAATATCATATTTTTAT